AGCCCAGTCTAACAAGACTGCCATTAGAGACTTGTTTTAACCTTTAAGATGCCTGATTACAGTGTCTGATGTATCAATGGTTCATAGTCAAGCTCAAAGGGCATAGCAAATGGGATCCCGCATAGATTTGTTAAGGGAGTGGGTCAATTCAACATCTTCATAAATGATTTGGATAATGACATAGAGAGTACACTTATAAAATTTGCAAATGGTACCAGGTTAGGAAGGGTTGAAAGTGCTTCAGAGACAGGATCAAAATTCAGAATGATCTTGACAAACTGGAGAAAGGATCTAAAATAAATAGGATGAAACTCAATAAGAACAAAAGCAAAGTTCCACATTTAGGAAGGAATAATCAATCAAAGTATAAAGGAGTACTGCAGAAAATGATCCAGAGGTTACAGAGGGTTACAAACTAAATATAAGTCAACAATTTAATACCGATGCAAAAATAAGCCAATATCATTCTGGGATTTGTTAGCAGGTTTTTTGTAAGCAAGACATGAGTACTTATTCTTCTGCTCTACTTTGTGCTGGTAAAACCTCAACTGGAGTATTGTACCAACCTCTAGACACCACACTTTGGGAAAGATGTGGACATACTGGAGAAATTTCAGAGGAGAACAACAAAAAATTATTAAAGGTCTAAAAAAAACTATGACTCACAAGGGAAGACTGTAAAAATTGGTTTTGTTTAATCTGGAGAAGAGATCACTGAGGAGGAGATATGATAACAGTCTTCAAGTACATAAAAGACTGTGATAAAAAGAAAGTGCTCTCTTCATCCACCAAGGACAGGACAAGAGTCAATGGCCTTAAATTGCAGCAAGGACAATTTAAGTTAGACATTAGACAAAATTTCCAGTCAGGGTAATCAAACACTGTAATAAATTACATAGGGAGGCTGTGGACTTTCCATCAGTGGAGGTTTTTTAAGAACAGGTTAGACATACACCTGTCAGAAATGTGCTGGATAATACCTAGTGCTGTGTCCATGCAGGGGACTAGACCAGCGAGGTCCCTTCCTACCCTACATTTCTCTGATTCTGTGATTGTTTATCAATAGCCATGCAAAAGGGATTAAATGCACAGCCAATAATGAGCTTCAGGGGTAGCAATGTAACTTCTCCACAAAAATTATATATCTCACCTGTGGGTTGGCGCTGATGGGCCTGCATGTTTCTGGATACTCCTCTGAGATAAGGAGAACCTACGTGCCCATGGAAAGAGATGCTCAGGTCCTTGCAGACACGGGTTTTATGGGACTGACTCCTGGAGTCCACTGAAAAACTCATATTGATTTCAATGGGCTTTTGAATTAAACACTAGGTCACCCATACCATCCATACAGCATTCAGCACAGGTATGCCTTTAACCTTCCCAGAGTGCATTAGACCATAAGGGAAGGAAACTGTTTCATCCTATTTCTTCTAGACCTTTTTTCCAGTTTGTCAAGATCATGCTGAATTTTAATCCTGTCTCTGAAGCACTTTCAACTAACTTGATACCATTTGCAAATTTGATAAGTGTATTCTCTATGCCATTATCCAAATCATTTATGAAGATGTTGAATTGACCCACGCCCTTAACAAATCTATGTGAGATCCCATTTGATATGCCCTTCGAGCTTGACTATGAACCACTGACACCATCAGACATAGTAATCAGGGTTCTCAGAGGCTAAAACAAGTCTCTAACAGCAGCCTTGTTAGACTGGGAGGCAGTCAGGGTGAAACTAGTTTCATTTTATTGTAAAGGAATGCAAAGGGATAGTCTATGGCTGTAAAAATGGGAGTAACTTGCTGTAATTCCAATTCAGGTTCAGTATTGACATTACTTTAACCAAAGACCACCCAGACAGCTTGTTACAATGGAAGTAGCAAAACGTAATAGCTGCCTAATAAGCTCTGTTTTATGAGGGTGACTAGCTATTGCTATTTAGTAGCTACAGCCTGTCACCAACAACAATAAGCTACAATTCAAGGGACGGCTTCATTCACTGCTCTGTTCAGTGCTTGATTTTGGCTGAATACCGTAGCCAGTTATCAGGAAACTCTGCCAGCTTCTCCATAGAGTCTGTTCCAATGCCAGGGAAGCCAACGGGAAGAATCCTATTGATTTCCATGGGCATTAGGTCAAGGTCTTAGATATTTGGCAATGCTACTCCCAAAGATATTGCAGCGCACGTCTCCACTCGCCATGCTGGAGATCGACGCTCTGGTGTTCAATTTAGAAGGTCTAGTTTAGACCCATAAATTGAATGCGGAGGACAGCTCTTGCAGGCTCCTATACTCCTCACAGTCGCAAGGAGGAAGGGAAGCTGAAGGGAGTGTAACAATATGGCTTTTCTGTAGCCATGTTGGAAGGCCTGTGCTAGGCCTGAACCAAAACCGCCTTCTGCAGCCAGACTGAAGAGTAGCAGCCATTACTGTAAGGCCTGGAGTCACATACTCACCGTTCCATCTACACTGTATTACAAAGTGTCACACCAGGTTGTGAGGAGGGGACTTTGCCCTGATAGCTCCCTCACTGTCACCAGATAAAGAAACAGATCTCAAGATATAAAGAAATTTGTGCGTAACACCATTTTGTCTGGCAAGAAACTGCTTATCAATAGAGGATGTTGTGGAATTCTTGTCCTATGAGCATTGTCACTACACTTTCCTATTGTTTGACTGTATGATATCTGTCTGGTTTGTAACTGTTTCTGTCTGTTGTATAATTAATTTTGCTAGGTGTAAATCAAGTAAGGTGGTGGGGTATGATTGGTTAGGTAATTTTGTTATGGTTGATTAGTAAAATTATACTAAAATAATTGGTTGCGGTCTAGCTAAGCAAGACCCAGGTTTCATTATAAAAACGGGTTCAAGAAGGAGAAGAGGGGAAAGATCATCAGGAGTAACAGAAGGAAGAAAAGGCTGGAAGAGGACCAGGAGGAGGGGGAAGACCTGGAAAAGAAGAACTCACCTCCGAGACACAGCCTAAGACCAGAGACACTGATATTGCCTGACCAACAAGGGAAGTCTGCCTGCCTTTATCAGGATTGGTGAGCATGACACTGTGTGCTTAGCAAGTGCATTCTGCTTGTTTGGGAATTGTCAGTAAATAGAGGATAAGGACATTACTGTGTGAGGCTCTTTCAAGTGGCTAACGATCCTGCCTACCCACAGGTTATTACACCGAGCCCTAGGAATTGGGTACGGGTGGGTGTGTAAATTCACAGGGTTGCACCTTGAACCCTAGAAACTGGGTAAAGGTGTGTGTCCCTACAGCGTGGAAGGGATAATAAAATTTGTGCGGGTAACAGGAGAGTTTGCATGCGTCAGCCTCCCGCTGAGTGGATGCCGCCAAGCTCGGCTTAAGGTAAGCTGACTCCAGCTACATATTTTAAGTTGACCTTCCAGATCTAGTATAGACCTGTCCTTAATGCCTTTGCTGTACAGGCCAAATTGCTTCACACCTACCACCTTGATTGGGAGAAGTTACTGGTGAAGCCAAAGCAAGGGAAAACATTTCCAGCATGCTGTCAAAGCAGACATCTTATGCCCCCTTCACACTGATGTAGCTTGGGAAACAAAGTGGAGCAGACTTTCATTGGCTCCAACCAAGGGAGCTCAGGTGATACTTTATCAGAGGCACAGAGGGTTAAAGTCCAAATTCCTGCCAATAAAGGGCCTGATGTGATGTAAAATTTGTTCTGGGTAACTGAAGCTACACAAAACATGAGATCAAACAGGCTGTTCTGAATGTGTGCAGCAAGCCATCCTAATACCATTTATGCAGCACATCAGGGGCAAAGGTGAACAACGGTGTACTGAAAAAGCGGACACCCAAAACATCACACACACAAGGGAAACCCTGCATGTTCCATCTGACTGAGCAGAAAATGTCAGTCTCCACCACTGATGAAACGAGATTTTACATCCCTAATCTTTTCTAGGACCAGGTTTGAGTTCCACATCCCATGTCCCTCGACTTATCTGGATTATTTTCCAGAACTGACTTCCCTGGGTTTTTCCCATTTCTTTCATTCTATCTGCACTTCTAGCATTACAGCCTCACTGCTTCTCATCCCTGCCTATTCAGCCCAAATCTCCCACAGCCTCATTCCCCTCTCACTACTTCAGTCAACCTAGGCTCAGTTACCACACACACACAAACCATGCTATTCCCATGCTCTCTCCTCCCTCAACCGCCCTGAGTCCTGTATATTGCCCATGTTCATAAAGGCAATTGGATGTGGTGGGGGAATATACTGAGGATGAGAATTCTGAATGCAAGCCAAGGGGGACAATAGGAGGATAACTGGCTGTGTGACTTACCTATGGATATTGATAGCTACCTATTTAACAAAACACTTGTAGCTGGGTAACAGTTAAGGTTGCTCAACTGCAAAATTGACAACGATAATCCTGAAAGGCCAAGCAGATCAATAATCACCATAATTTCGCTCTTAGACATGCCACAACATTTAAAAAGTTTGGAACAAGACACAAGGCTTTATAAAAGGTTACGGGTAAAAAGCACCTACCTGACTTTGGAGGCAAAGTCCTATTTTCAAAAGGGACTGAATCACATCAGATCCCATTTGAAAGTGAATAGGATCTAGGCTCCAAAGTGCCCAACATTTCAAAGGTTATATAGGCACCTAAAGATTCAGAAAGGCACCTAGTAAGGTATTCCAAGCCATCTAAGTAGATTAGGTGCCTGATTTCCATCAGTCAGAGTTAAATGCTTAAATAGGTGTTTTTGTAAAACCACTAAGCACTTAGCTGCATCTTTAGGCACCTAAATACCTTTGACAATATGTCCCTAAATCACTTTTGACAATCACATTTTGAAATATTTACTTTAAGTGGCATGTTAAACATGATTTCGTTATCCAAGTACAGCTTTCTAAAGGACGACTGGTCCTCCAACACACACAGTCTCAAATTAGTCAGGATCTACTCCCTTACTAGAAAAAAACAAAATCAACTGGGTATGTCTGATGTACTCACCTCCGCCATAGGTCGTGGCCAACATAATTGAAGACACCCATGCAATCTCACTGTAGGATGTGCCAAAGAAATCCTGGATTTCTTTGAAGAAGATAGCTATGGCTTTAGGGAAAGCATATGAAAATCCAATGGAAATGAATGCTCCGAATACTACTGCCCATCCCCATCCCCCATCAGGAGGGGTGTAGGCCAGGCCTGTGTTAGCTGGAGGCGGCATGGCCAGGTAAAATTAAAGCCCAGAAAGTTCTCCTCTGGAAGTCTGAAAAACAAAGTGCACACACGCAAAGTTAGTCCTTGGGCAAATTCTCCACAGCCAACTCTCGCTCTCTTGCTTGCTCACTTTCAGCGGTCAGGGTTTGGTGGAGGAGTAAGGTCACCAGCTCTGACTGAAGCTTTTCCAAGAGACTGTTTTCCCAACATGGACGTAATGTCATTTCCTTAAAATATCCTATTCAGGTCTCCAGGGTTGCGTTCAATAATCTCTGGGAGATTGATGCGGATTCCTGCAGACTCCAGGCCAATTCTGGAGGCTTGGCAACCCAATGGAGCAGAGTCAATAGACATTCAAACTTGGGATGCGAATGGGTAACTGGTTAACTCATTGCTGGGTAAGCATCACCCTTCCTGAATGGTTCACTGGCACGTGGGAGTAACCCCTGTTTGCTGCTCCAGCCCCACCAGGCCCACTGCACCACAGATCAGAGTGGGAGCCAGCAGCCCCGCATGGGGCCAGGAGCCTTACAGGGCCGGGAGCACCATAGCTGGGGGCTGCTCCAGCTGGACTGAAATGACCCCCCCCCCAATCCGCTTAATCTTTTAAATGGTTAAAGCTAAAGTTTAACTAGTTAGCTGATTAAACGGGATTTTACACCCCTACTTCAAACACTGTTTTAGAACACACAGTGCCTAGATAAATCTCATTGTAGTTTGTGCTTCAGTGTAATGGGCAGCAGCTAATTCTAAATCTACTAACCCCCTGCTGTCCTCACTCAGCCTGGTTTATTCACTTTTCTATTCCAACGATGAGAGGCCAGGGATCTCCATAAGAAGTCTTTTGGGGTGGCTATTACTTAGTAAGTCTCCGATTTTGACCTGGAGTCACAGAACTCATGGAATCCATGACTTCCAGTCACCTCGAGATGTTTTCCACATCAGCTGTAGGCAGCGTGGGTCACTGCAGCTGCCCCAGAGCTCCCAGCTGTGGGCCCAGTGCCTCTGCACTCTGCACTATGGGTGGCCCTCGGAGCCCGAAGGATGGGCACTGGATTCTGCTCCCGCTCTATTTTGTCACAGTTATTTTTAATAAAAGTCAGAGACAGGGACAGGCTTTGGTGAACTTTTGTTTACTGCCCGTGGCCTCGCCGTGGTTTGTACTAAAAATACTCATGACAAAATTTTAACCTTATTTAAGAATTAATAGGCTAATTTTTAACCATTTCCACACCTCTTTGCAACTCTAGTAGCTTCTGTTGGCTCACTCTGGGATATAAATCCAGGAAAAAAGTTGTTCCATGTGTAACTTTCCACTCTTATGGAGATAACAGAATTGTATCAGTGTATCTTATTCATACAGTTTTGTGTGTTTAAAGGAAAACTGCCCCCACCCCCTACACATAAGCAGGAAAGTGCTTGAAAATACAGCCAGATGCACAAAGACAGTGTGACTACTACAGAACCATCAGTGGGAAAATTCACTCTCAACATATACATGCATGCTCAGGCTCACAGATTATACGTAGCGTATGTGCCTGCACATAGAATGAAGGACACTATTATGTGCCATGCACATTCCAAATGAATACAATCCACAGAGAATACACACGCATTCGACACATAGAACATACAACATGCCCATGCATATGTAGTATACATAGACAATATACATGGGAAACAGATATACATGTAAGGCATTGTGAACACACACGGATACACAGAAGCAGTACAAGAAGCATGCACATATAGCATGCAGACTATAAATGACGTACATGAGCACACAGCACACAGAGTACATTGGATACATTGGCTTAAAGCACGTGTCAGGGACAGTGCGGATACAAAATTTGTATCCCCATCTGCATCAGTATCCACAAAAATTAACCACAGATATCCGCATTAACATCCATGGACGCGAATACCTGCAGATAGAAAGAAGATAGCTACAAATTTGCAGGATTCTAGATACAAAAATGAGCCATGGATATCCGCCTCCAAATCCTTCAGTGCAGATACCCTCAAAAGCAAATATCCACATATTCGCAGGGCTCTGCTAACAGGACTCATGAGCATTTGGAATGGCAAAGATACATGGAGAACGCTGGTATCTAGAACACAAGACTGTACATTGGCTGCATAGGTGAGCAGCAGACACATTAGACTCCACTTCTGGTGCTGAACACAGAGGGTGCACACACATATTCACACATATGGCACAGTGATAATGCAGGAAGGACACATACATGCGGCACACACACTTTACACACGAAACATGAGTATGTGAAACTGCACAGCATGTACATAAGTAGACACATACCGTACACAGCTGTACATAAGGTGTGCACACTGGCACATGCATGCAGCACACAGGCAGCATAGGGTGCCCACACAAGCACGTATAAGGTGCGTACACAAGCACATGTATGTGGCACACGTGTCACACACAGGCAGGCACATGCATGCGGCACAGGGCGCACACGCAGGCGGCACACGGAGACACAGGACGCACATGTAGGCACATGCATGTGGCACACAGGGGCACAGGGCGCACATGTAGGCACATGCACGCGGCACACGGGGACACGGTGCACACGCAGGCACATGCACGCGGCACACGGGGACACGGTGCACACGCAGGCACATGCAGGCGGCACACGGGGACACGGTGCACACGCAGGCACATGCACGCGGCACACGGGGACACGGTGCACACGCAGGCACATGCAGGCGGCACACGGGGACACGGTGCACACGCAGGCACATGCACGCGGCACACGGGGACACGGTGCACACGCAGGCACATGCAGGCGGCACACGGGGACACGGTGCACACGCAGGCACATGCACGCGGCACACGGGGACACGGTGCACACGCAGGCACATGCAGGCGGCACACGGGGACACGGTGCACACGCAGGCACATGCACGCGGCACACGGGGACACGGTGCACACGCAGGCACATGCAGGCGGCACACGGGGACACGGTGCACACGCAGGCACATGCACGCGGCACACGGGGACACGGTGCACACGCAGGCACATGCAGGCGGCACACGGGGACACGGTGCACACGCAGGCACATGCACGCGGCACACGGGGACACGGTGCACACGCAGGCACATGCACGCGGCACACGGGGACACGGTGCACACGCAGGCACATGCACGCGGCACACGGGGACACGGTGCACACGCAGGCACATGCACGCGGCACACGGGGACACGGTGCACACGCAGGCACATGCACGCGGCACACGGGGACACGGTGCACACGCAGGCACATGCACGCGGCACACGGGGACACGGTGCACACGCAGGCACATGCACGCGGCACACGGGGACACGGTGCACACGCAGGCACATGCACGCGGCACACGGGGACACGGTGCACACGCAGGCACATGCACGCGGCACACGGGGACACGGTGCACACGCAGGCACATGCACGCGGCACACGGGGACACGGTGCACACGCAGGCACATGCACGCGGCACACGGGGACACGGTGCACACGCAGGCACATGCAGGCGGCACACGGGGACACGGTGCACACGCAGGCACATGCACGCGGCACACGGGGACACGGTGCACACGCAGGCACATGCAGGCGGCACACGGGGACACGGTGCACACGCAGGCACATGCACGCGGCACACGGGGACACGGTGCACACGCAGGCACATGCAGGCGGCACACGGGGACACGGTGCACACGCAGGCACATGCACGCGGCACACGGGGACACGGTGCACACGCAGGCACATGCAGGCGGCACACGGGGACACGGTGCACACGCAGGCACATGCACGCGGCACACGGGGACACGGTGCACACGCAGGCACATGCAGGCGGCACACGGGGACACGGTGCACACGCAGGCACATGCACGCGGCACACGGGGACACGGTGCACACGCAGGCACATGCAGGCGGCACACGGGGACACGGTGCACACGCAGGCACATGCACGCGGCACACGGGGACACGGTGCACACGCAGGCACATGCAGGCGGCACACGGGGACACGGTGCACACGCAGGCACATGCACGCGGCACACGGGGACACGGTGCACACGCAGGCACATGCAGGCGGCACACGGGGACACGGTGCACACGCAGGCACATGCACGCGGCACACGGGGACACGGTGCACACGCAGGCACATGCAGGCGGCACACGGGGACACGGTGCACACGCAGGCACATGCACGCGGCACACGGGGACACGGTGCACACGCAGGCACATGCAGGCGGCACACGGGGACACGGTGCACACGCAGGCACATGCACGCGGCACACGGGGACACGGTGCACACGCAGGCACATGCAGGCGGCACACGGGGACACGGTGCACACGCAGGCACATGCACGCGGCACACGGGGACACGGTGCACACGCAGGCACATGCAGGCGGCACACGGGGACACGGTGCACACGCAGGCACATGCACGCGGCACACGGGGACACGGTGCACACGCAGGCACATGCAGGCGGCACACGGGGACACGGTGCACACGCAGGCACATGCACGCGGCACACGGGGACACGGTGCACACGCAGGCACATGCAGGCGGCACACGGGGACACGGTGCACACGCAGGCACATGCACGCGGCACACGGGGACACGGTGCACACGCAGGCACATGCAGGCGGCACACGGGGACACGGTGCACACGCAGGCACATGCACGCGGCACACGGGGACACGGTGCACACGCAGGCACATGCAGGCGGCACACGGGGACACGGTGCACACGCAGGCACATGCACGCGGCACACGGGGACACGGTGCACACGCAGGCACATGCAGGCGGCACACGGGGACACGGTGCACACGCAGGCACATGCACGCGGCACACGGGGACACGGTGCACACGCAGGCACATGCAGGCGGCACACGGGGACACGGTGCACACGCAGGCACATGCACGCGGCACACGGGGACACGGTGCACACGCAGGCACATGCAGGCGGCACACGGGGACACGGTGCACACGCAGGCACATGCACGCGGCACACGGGGACACGGTGCACACGCAGGCACATGCAGGCGGCACACGGGGACACGGTGCACACGCAGGCACATGCACGCGGCACACGGGGACACGGTGCACACGCAGGCACATGCAGGCGGCACACGGGGACACGGTGCACACGCAGGCACATGCACGCGGCACACGGGGACACGGTGCACACGCAGGCACATGCAGGCGGCACACGGGGACACGGTGCACACGCAGGCACATGCACGCGGCACACGGGGACACGGTGCACACGCAGGCACATGCAGGCGGCACACGGGGACACGGTGCACACGCAGGCACATGCACGCGGCACACGGGGACACGGTGCACACGCAGGCACATGCAGGCGGCACACGGGGACACGGTGCACACGCAGGCACATGCACGCGGCACACGGGGACACGGT